GGGAAACGGGCCGGGCAATTCAAAAAATTGCCGCCCCGAAGGGGGAGGCCGAACATAGTAGGAGAGCGAAGGTCAGATAAATTGAAGGAGTCAGTCGAGGCCCAGTACCTGAAGTGGTGAGGAAACAGCACCGGAAAGAGGTACAGGGGAAATGAGGATTGTCCGAAGAGGGGTCCAAAGACGAGGCGGGGTCAGAACGGGGTGCGGTATCAAGAAGGGGCCCGGGGGTAGCAGGTTCTGGACTAGGGCTGCCATGGTTAGGTTACTTCTTTCTTTTTGTTTTTAAGAAAAAAAAAGAAAGAAGAAAAAATAAAAAATAAAAAAAAGAATAAAAAAAGGGGGGACCGGGGAGGGATAGTTCCTAGGAGGAATGAAAGGGCCAGAAATCCCCCCTCCGCCCCCAAGAGGACCTCACACCGCAAGTAGCGCAGATGCAGCATGGAACCCGGCCATACCCTACCCACATGCCATAAACCGGCAATCCGGGATAGCAACCTCACATCTGCCGAGCTACCTCGGTGGACAAAAGAGAGGGCAGCCGGAAATCCGCCACAAAGCATACCTCCTTCGCCACCACCCCCAGAATCCGAAAGGTGGCTTCCAAGATACACCCGTCGCCCGAGAGACACCCAAAAAGCCCCCTCCGGGATACCGGAGAGGGATCGGGAAAATCCCTAGGCAATCCAGATTCCACGGCAAACTACCCCAAAACCGCCAAGAACCTCAACGGAATGGGATGGACCCCGGTACCCTTTCCCCTACCTAGGAACTAGCGTGCCTGGGGGGAAAAAAAAAAAAAAAAAGGCCAAAAAGGAAGGGCAAAAGGGAGGGGTGGGGAGGAGGAGGAGGAAAGGAAAAAGGGGAGGATGGGATAATGAACGGGGGATTGGGGGTAATTAGGTTCGGTCTGAGGAAGTAGACCGACAGGTCTAATTCCTCAACCAAGAGCCTCTTCACCACGCCAAGGAGCCCCCCTTGAAGAGGAATTGAGCAAAAGCTTCTATAAAAATAAGGTGCTTCATTTTGGAGAGGTTTTGGGACAATAATTAAGTTATTACAGTAAATCTTATACACAACACCATTCTGCCCTTATCCTCAGGTTTTCTTTCAACTTATTCACTATTGTGTTTAATGTGGGAAAGGAAATTTTTATATTTTTGAAGCAGTCCTCGGTATTTCCATTTATTTATTTATGTAAGCAGTGGTAGCTAATCCATACGAGGATTAATTAACTTTTGTATAAATTCTTGCTCCTTTTTGTTTCAAAACCATTTGTTAGATGTGTAAAGTGAACATTTTATGCAAGTCCATTCCTGAATGATCCCTCAACAAACATGGTTTGCAAAGATATAAGAAGACTTAAAAATAATTTACCAATTTTTCTGTGATCTCTCTTGGCTGCCTCCTCTTGGAAATGCTTCCATTCCTTCAGTTGTTTTGGATCGGGGAAGCTGATTCCCGTAAACTCTTTGAAGAGATTCTGCCTCACTGTTTCCTTCCAGTATGACGAAGAGTTTCTTAGTCACCTGTTAGGTTAGCAATATTTGCCTATTACAACTGCTCACTGTTATTTTTTAACCCCTTTTTTATTATTTTTCTAAAAATTCTTTTTTTTAAAGGGTACAGTATTCTTATTGATATAGACTACATTTAAAACAATAAAAAAGAGGGATGTTTATTTGTTAACATATTTAAATGAGTAAAAATAAGAATATTTTTCATTAGTAATATTGATTTATTAACTAGTAAAATTTTTTCCAAGCCCAAATTAAGTAAAAAATAATTACCGTAAAGGCTTTAACCTTCCCAGTGTGGCGACATGTGGACCTGGGCACAAATCAATGAGAGGTCCACAGCGGTATACAGTGGTGGTGTCAGTTTTTCACTTTCCTCGTTCAACAAGCGCACCTACAAAGCAGAAAAATCTCATAGGGTAAAGGAATTAAGGCAATTTTTACTTATGAGCAATCCCTTTTCCCATAATTATGCTTGATAAACATTATACATTTACTAGAGAAATTATAAACCAAATACTGTATATGGTTGTCAAAGCCCAGTACAAACTACTGAACTTTATAAATCATTTGAATAATCAAGAGTAAAATTTATATGATTTAGTGGGTCTGAATTTTGGGGTGATTTTGAAGCTAGATCAACAGAATACATTTCAATAACTGTACTTTCTTATCTCTCTTTATAATCACCCTGTAACAGGTAAAAACTAAGCAT